CAGGCACGAACGCTGCCTAAAATGTCTGGCGGAGGACGGGCATGACGATGGGTCATGCCCGATAGGCATTGCCTTTAACCCCCGGGCCCCCCAAAAGAGACAAGTTGACTTGCTCCACTTTAAAGAGGTCTATTAAAGGCGGGGGTAGATTTCAGATATGCTAAAAGCTGCCGAGACTGTCTCCCCAGCTCCCTCTCCCGGGGCCGGGGGAGAAGGCTCGAGGGTCCCCGAAGTAAGCACTGTCTTTGGCAGAATTTTCTGCGTTACTTAAGTCGCAGATGGCGTCGATGATGGAGGAGGTGAAGTCTCGGCTACGACAGGAGCTAGGGGCTGAGCCTTCCCCGTTGTCGGCGCCGGACGCGTCTTCGAGAGCTTGTGTTATGCCCGGCCGAGGCAGGCCACTTGTTCTCGGGGACGATCCGAGACCGGGCTTCGGCGCCGGCTCGAGGTCGCTCCCCAGCGGAGGGGTGGCGGGCGCCGGCCCGTGCACTACCGACGCACAATTTTCCCTAGCGGAGCCAGACGCCTCTTCCGAGGCCGAGGCTTCCACTAGTGGATTCGTAGCCCGGAGCCAGGGGGGTTCCCTTGGTCTCGGGGACGATCCGAGACCGAGTTTCGGCTCCGGCCGAGGTCGCTCCCCAACAGAGGGTTCCCTTGAACCCCCGGCACCTCGGCACCGGGCCGGGTGCAGAGGCACGTGCGGGACAGGATTGTCCAGGTACTGCCTCAGGTGGCTGGAGTGGGAGACCCCCAACTTGACTAAGGTCATGCGGTGCGGAGTTGAAGGCTTCATATGCTTCGAGAAGCAATATCAAAATGCATGCCAACAGCTCCGTGTGTCCGTACACTCCGTGTATCTGTCGGCTGTGCAGAGGGAGTAAGCCGGAGAGGGGCAAGCCGACTCTTCGGAGTTGGCCGCGCAAATAACGGAAGTTCAGTCATCATGCGCGTGACGCTATTCGTAGCTGTGCCTCGCAGACGATGTGCGCTGTTATGGGCATGCGCAGGCGGTGGATGTCCGTATCTAAATACTCGACTTCCACACGCCAAGACCTATACTTGCTTTGCTGTATAAGATGGGTGCCACCCTCTTCCCTGGGGCTCAGCAGGTGGTCCGAGAGGCCGCTCAATTGTATACTTCCATCAAAGACTCTAAGGCCTTGTTGGAGGTACCAAGCGTTAAAACCGCGTAAGCGGGACTCTCCACTTGACCCATCCTACGCTGACGCACCGGGTCAGAAGTCCACACCTGCTTGGAAGCAGCCGCTTCCTTCAGGTAAGGGCGCCGGGAGGAGCAAGAGAGGCAGGGGTCGGGGCAAGGCAGCTGGTCGAGGCCAGCAGCTTGTTCGCGGGGCCGGGAACCCAATGGGTTCCCATTAGCGCCCGAAGAGCCCCGGGTGGACCCACAGTCGCAAGTTATCGAACTCCCGACAGCCGGGGTTCACTACCTCAAGCAAAGGATGTCCCCGTAGGCGGCCGACTGGCTCTATTCCTGAAGGAATTGGAGACAATTACATCACAATCCCCGGACCCCGTCCATTTTAAGGGATGGCCATTTGCCTCGGTGGAAACATCATCCGCCCCCCTTCTCCGGGATAAAGCACATTCCGGTGCCTGCTACCTGAGAGAAGGCGGAATTCCTCCGTGCCGAGGTCGACGCACTTCTTATGAAAGCTGCCAAACCGGGTCCCGAGGGACAGGAAAGCGAGGGCTTCTACTCGACGTATTTCCTAGTCACCAAACAGTGATCTCAGCTGTCAGCTAACGTCAATAGACCTAAAATACGCCTATCTCTACGTACCCATACACCCTGAGTTCAAGAAATACCTGAGGTTTTCTTTCGACGGGAGGTGTTATCAGTTCAGGGTTCTACCATTCGGGATCTCCACGGCCCCGAGGGTGTTCACCAAGCTGATGTTGATTCCTCCTGCCCAAGTGGCCAGGTCGAAAGGTCGGTTCTGCCATCCGCACCTGGTTACTAAGAACTCTTTCGCAATCCCTGAGTCAGATAGCTACACAAGAAGTGATAGACATTCTGATCACTCTAGGCTGGATAGTCAATCTCAGGAAGTCAGATCTGAGCCCCACTCAGAATCTAGTCTTCCTAGGGGCGAATTTCACCACGGTGAGAGGACGTGTATCTCTGTCACAAGATATCAAGTTCCTTGTGCGCAAGTCACACTGCTCGTACATGGCTCCAGTTACTGGGCAACATGGCGGCGACGGTGGATGTGGTCTGGCGGGCGCGCTTGAGAATGAGACCCATTCAACAAGCACTCCGTTGACTTTGGGCGAAAACGGAAGATCAGGAGACTGTGCTCGAGACTCCGTAGTGGCTCAATACACACCTTCAGTGGTGGACCGAGGTCGGGAATCTGTCCCGGGGGCTCCCCCTCGACACTCCCGTTCCGTCTCTCACAGTAAGTTCAAACAGACGCGTCACTCTCCGGCTGGGGAGAGGTTGGTGTTCCAACGCTTCACGGATCTGCATCGCGGCCAAGTGGTTCGTCTAGAGATGGACAACCAGACGTCGAAGACTTACATCCGGAAGCAGGGGGGAACGGCGTCTCCGTCGCTTCGCCAAGAGACGTGGCAGTTTCTGCTATGGTGCGACTCTCACGATATCAGGGTGCTACCTGTTTATCTCCAGGGGGTGGACAACGTCCGTGCGGACGCTCTGTCTCGCCGGATCCTCGCTCCTCACGAGTAAAGGCTCGACCCGGGGATATTCGGGATTTTCTCCCTGTTATACAGGTCGTTAAAGGTGGATCTGTTTGCGTCTGGGGTGAATCACCAGACGCCAACGTTCTGCTCCCGAGTCCCCGACCCCAGGTCGGTGGCACCGGACACCTTCCAGCTAGACTGGACGGACAGAGTTCTGTGGGCATCCCCCTCAGTACCTCTGATTTCCACGGTCCCGTCTCAGCTAGGCACTCAGCCTGGGCGACTACTTGTGCTCCTGGCACCTCTTTAGTCTGCGCAGAGTTGGTTTCCAGTAATACTCAGGTTTCTGGCTCAGCCTCCTGTTATATTACCTTTACGACCGGACCTCCTATCCCAGAACGGGGCCCTCCAACCGAATCCCAGGATTCAATGGGTGGCTTGGCCACTTTCAGGAATCGCCTCCAGAAGAGCGGTATTCCTGCACGAGTTGCAGACACACTACTGGCTTCGCGGAGGGATTTGACAAACGTTCAATACGAGGATAGATAGGCCTGCTATGTGCGCTGGTGTGTCGATAGAGGGATGGCAGATATTTTTTCTGCAGATCTCGTAGCCGTCCTTGAGTTCCTCCAGTCGCGACTAGATGACGGGCCTGACCGCATCAACAGTCCGAGGGTACTCTACAGCTGTCGCAGCTTTTCACGTCCCTGTCGACGGGGCACTTCTGGGTGCACACCCATTAGTGCAGCGCTTTTTAGCAGGTGTGGACAGGATCCGACCGCCAGTCCGGCGGATCAGTCCCCCTTGGGACTTGTCAATCGTTCTTGATTGGCCGTCCGGTCCTTCCTTTCGGGATCTGTCGTCTCTCTCTCTTCAGCTGTTGAGCTAGAAGACGGCGTTCCTTGTGGTGGTAACGTCCGGCAGACGGGTAGGCGACATTCGTGTTATGTCAGCCGATCCCGAAATAACTGTCTTCCACCGGGACAGAGTCAGTTTTCGACTACCAGACTCTTTGTCCTAAGGTCGCACACGCCTTCCACGTGAACGGCTCCTATTGATCAATAGGAGCCGTTCACGTGGAAGGCGTGTGCGACCTTAGGACAAAGAGTCTGGTAGTCGAAAACTGACTCTGTCCCGGTGGAAGACAGTTATTTCGGGATCGGCTGACATAACACGAATGTCGCCTACCCGTCTGCCGGACGTTACCACCACAAGGAACGCCGTCTTCTAGCTCAACAGCTGAAGAGAGAGAGACGACAGAATTCTACGTTGTGACAACGTTGTGACAACGTTGACTTTTCGTTGCTACAACGTTGTGATGTTACGTTGTCACAACGTAATTCTGTAGACTCCCAGATTGGTTGCTACAACGTTGTGCGTAAACCAAAATACAACCAAATCAAGACGTTGTCACAACGTCCATTTTTTACGTTGCTACAACGTTTAACCAAAACGTCGCGACAACGTACCCAGCCAACAATTCTACGTTGTTACAACGTTGTGACAACGTTTACTTTTCGTTGCTACAACGTTGTGATGTTACGTTGTCACAACGTAATTCTGTAGACTCCCAGATTGGTTGCTACAACGTTGTGCGTAAACCAAAATACAACCAAATCAAGACGTTGTCACAACGTCCATTTTTTACGTCGCGACAACGTAGGTATCGCATACTTTTTACATATGGCGACACTGCAGGCATTGCAGCACGTTGTTGCAATGTCCATGTAGATTAACGCCTGTTTTATTCCTCAATACCTCCCAGGCAGCCTGAAAAGTTTGTACCAATCTAGTTAAGACGTCAGGTACCAAGAAATACATTCTGCAAACTGAATTCACTTTAACCCTATCCATGAAACAGCAAGTCAATGAAATGCACTCTCTTTTGGCAGAGTTTGAAATACGGCCAAGATATAAATCTAAATGTTTTAAATAACATGTACAATTTGGTAATATAATATTCATTTTCCAAAACAACTTTCAAGGCTATGTGCAAATTGTTCACAAATGTTTCAACACAATTAAAAGATATTGGATTTTCCCACGAATCTGCAAATTAAAAACCATCAAACAATAAGCCCTGCACAAATTGAAACATTTAAATTTTCTTGGCCTTACCTCATACATTCAGCATTGAGAGCAACACTGTGACCAACAGAATAGTCTATGCATCTGATGTCCTAAGATCCATTAGGTAAACGAAATGACAATAGAATTCTGGTTGAGGTGACCTTTATTTATTTGTTAAATGACAAGTCAGAACATGGGCTGAGTTGCTGGGGAGCCTTTTCAGTCCTCAAATGAAAAGTCACAGGGATGATCTTCAACTGTATCCTGTCTCTCCTTATGCCTTGGTAACTGAATAAAAAATGACACAAATGTTATAAAATGGCAAGGCAAGGGACATATTTCTGACATAACAAAATGACGGTTGCATTCCCCAAAATAATGTTTTGATGTCTGATGTCAGTCTTTAAACTGTTAAAAACTGCTGAAAGTGTGAAGGCGCTGACACTAATACCATGATGCTCTTGGATCATACATAAGCAGAAAAGCTTTTAGCACTGAATCATTGGTGTAACTTTATACCCCCGCCCTTTTAGATTGTGGGTATAATTAAATAAGAATCATCTAAATTTTAATTCTTGAAGATGTTTGTATATATTATTGAATCAGACATACCTTTCTGTCAGTGATATGTACTTTAAACAAATACGCTCCCACAATACTGTTTTCTCCACCTGAAAGAAAAACAGAAACCACAAATTATCACATTCTTAAATAAACCAGTACTGTATAGATAAATCCCATTTACTTAGACTAATAGAGTATGATGTAACTGATAGTAATATTGGCAAATAGTTTTATCAGTCAACAGATCAACTGTAGTTTTTCAAAAGCAGTAACTTTACCTTTCTGCTGTACACTCAAACTAGTGATTCAAGTGAATATCATGGCCAAGTTTCTAAAACCTTATTTGAAAAATATGTACATAAATGAAAAATATATATTGCCAAATAAAATAAATAGTTCCCATATTTGAAGCAAGAATGTTGAATATGAATTATGAATTGGCCCACCAATAAGTGATAAAAGTGTTAACACTTCGGGGTATTTATCCTAATTAAAACTGTGATTTTTTTTAATACTTAGATCTACCTTAATATTTTCCATATTAATATGCCAGGATAGTTATATATGTTCTAACATTTACAAAGATTAGAAACATGGGGAAATAAACAAAATGCAATAGCTTATACAATACCAGACGAAGTTGAAACAGCTCTAAATATTTATTGAAATTTATTTGTCACTACGTTTATTAACATAGATCTAATACAGTTAAATATCGTTAAATATAATTCTGTAGTATGGTAGCCTACGTGGCAACATATGCAGATCGAAAACCGAAAGAATATGGTTGCTATCAATTCCATTGTATTTTTCATTGGTGCACATTGGCTACACCTATCTCACTTTAATAATCAACAAACGATGACCAACTCACTGACAATATATGGTGATATTTAACTTTTGACTATCGACTAGCTTATCATCACCAGAGAGGACAATACCGCAAACACCCCGTTATAGCGCGCGACGAGAGACTCGTTTTACTTTTGCTCGTTTTCATTAGAAAGGAGTCGGACATAGATCTAGTTATCGGAAAATGATGAATTGATTCTTTTTTCGGAAATAATAAAAATACACATGATAAGCACCTTGCTATGATAAACTTTATAGACAGCAGCAACAACCTGATGATCCACATTTAGGCTACTTCAGTCAGTGCTAATTAGGCCTTTTCGGAAACATCAAGTATGTTTCTGTCTCTTCCCGAAAATACGATTTTTTTCATAACATCATTGATCACTTTAGACTAGGGCTATAACTAGCAGCCTACAGAGAGTCGATCTGAATACTTCCATTGTTTTGATTCCCTCTTTTCGCTGTATAAGAGAAATCTACTTAACCTTTCCCATGGCCTGGATGAGCCACATTGTTGCACAAAAATCAAAGTCAGAAGATTAGTACATGTAAACTTTAAATAGTAATGATTTCAGAAATAACACAGAAGAAATGGCGATAACTGTCAGTGCGGTCAGTAGGCGATGCATAAGTTAGGCCTATTTACAAATCTACACGCTTACGAACGAAACCCGAACATAATATGACGGCCACAAAACGCCACCAGATTGAATTCTGGTCAAAAATATACCGCTTGCCCTTGGCAATTACCCTTGGTATCCATAAAATAATAATATGGAAAAAAAGTCTTGGGCCCCCTTCACCTCTATCATCAAGTTCTGTGTATCATATTAATATCAACACTGACGCTCAGTGAAAATGACCGGCAAACTGCATTCTTAATCCTGCCACTTCTGAATAATACGATACATTTAGATCATTTGACGCACTGCATGCACAGAAACATATCAACAAGCGGAGACTATTTTTGAAAAATTAACTTACCTCAATCGAATTCACAGATCATCTGTCCAGTTCCAGTTGCTGCACAATCACTTGCTTGTAATATATTATGTCCAGAGTGAGTTTGAGCTAAGATGGCTGGTGACAACAAATCTTCCGCGACAATGTGACGTCATTCTGACGTCACTTCACGAGGCAACAGGCTAAACTTTTCTGCAGTCGCTCTCACGCCGCAAAAAATACGCGCCAATTGTTTTTAACTGTAATATTGCTTGTGACAACATTTAGTTCGTTAATAGATATATATGTTTAAAAAAAAATAACACTAAGAGATGGTAGATCTACAAGTGGTTTCCTAAACATCATTTACAAAAAGTACTGTAATGTCCAAAACACAACGTTATCACAACGTTAATTTGCAACGTTGTTGTAACGTTGTCACAGATATACGCAATTACGTTCTCGAAATATTAGTATTAAGAGATAAAAAATTCAAATGCCGAATATATAGAAAGGTAATGCATTACTAACTTGGTTTTCTGACAAATTCATGTTGATTTTGATAAAGCAGTTCTATTCCTTCTATTCTATTCTATCGAGAAGCAAACTCAATAACGTTTCACCGACGTTTCAGAAACGTAGTTACAAAACGTTGTGTGATGTCCAATGCACAACGTTTTCACAACGTGAATGTGCAACGTTGTTATTACGTTGTGAAATAACGTTGCAGGTCGACGTTAAAATAACGTTGTTACAACGTTATATCACGACGTTACCAATCCACAACCTTTCAACAACGATGGAAGTGCGAATCATGCATGTATGGCGAAAATGTTATTGTCATTGTTTGTTGTTTAATCGCCTCTTACGACAAGCACGGGTTGCTGAAAAGTGAAAACCAAATCTAACATTATTGTAATTTTCTGCCAAAATGTAGTTTATTTCGAGTAAACACCTTTGTTTTTACGCTTTTCGCGATGAAGACTATTTGACGTCGCACCAACGTATGAGAAACGTTGTCATCATAACGTTGCATGGCGCCCGATTCACAACGTTTCCACAACGTAATTTTCCTACGTTGTGATTACGTTGTCACATAACGTTGGAGTGACGTGATAATAAGGTGTTTACACAGACTTTAGTTTATTTACGAGATGGAAATCCTGATTCCGAAGATATAGGTAAATAATGAATTACTGCCTTGTTTTTGGCAGAAATTGTGTCGATTTGTATGTAAAACTTTTGTTCATACAATTTTCGTTAAGGCGACAGTTGACGTCGCACCAACGTTTCAGGAACGATGTAACAAGACGTTGGGAAATATTCGATGAACAACGTTTTCACAACGTAAAAATGTAACGTTGTTATTACGTTGTGAAACGACGTTGCACAGTGACGTAATAATAACGTTGTGACAACGTTGTATCACTACGTTACCAATTCACAACTTTACCACAACGTTGTGAAAACGTAGTGTGTTAGCTGGCTACCTGCTCTTTCACAGCCTTCCTCGTCGGGGACCACTGCAAGACATTCTCATATGTCTTGGATGTCCGCAGGACCCTCAAGGCCCATATCAGCTGAACTATGGGTGTCCGTAAGGATAACCAACTATTTTGCTGTTACGGCGGTATGAAGGCTGGCTCACCTGCGAGCAAACAATCTATCTCGAGGTGGATAGTTTCAACCATTTGTACAGCTATACGCTTACAGGCAGGGACCCCCCTACCAGGTTGAAGGCTCATTCGGTTAGAGCAGTGGCTACGTCAAAAGCGTACGCCGCGGCTCTGCCCATTGAGGAGATCTGCTCCGCGGCTATTTGGAGCCAGCCGAGCACGTTCATCAAACATTACCAACTCGACAAACACTCAAGCGAGCGTGCTCGGTTTGGTCAGTCAGTTCTCCGAACTGGGCAAAGTTCTCATCTCTAGCCGATTGAGCATTCGAGATTTAAGACAGTCCTCTGGTTATACTTCTCAGTAATGGTCCGGATTTTATCTTCTGCGGTCGATAAATATCAGTCCTTACTACTCGATAATACTCGTTTTTTGCACACGCACTCCTTCGATCCTCGGGGACCCTCTGGCCTAGCTCAGCGCTGGTTATAGTCTCTCGTGATCTACGCCCCTATATCACTTGTTCAAACAAAGTGATGGGGGTGGGGGGTGTTTCGAGTTCTCAACTTATGACAAGCCGCAAAAACAGGCTTTATCATAACATATGGTCGACCACGCCCTGACTCTAGCCCCCGCCTTTCGACGGTGGTGCCTCAAGATAACGTTCGTTCCATTTATTGATCTCAATATTTTATTCTGTTGAATAATCAAATACGATCTATTTATTTACGCCTGTTGCTGACGGATGCCACTTCCTACATTATCTTTGGGAGTCTGTCTTGATGCAATAAGTGCCCCAAGGAGGATTTAATCTGAAAGAGAATTTTACAAACCTGTAGAGGTTATGAATTCTCTGATGAAATCCTCCTTGGGGCACGGCCACCCACCTCCCCACATTCCGTCAGCATTTGACATATGGAAAGTGATTTGGGTGAGAGTTGCTCCCCCTGGCGTGAGGCGCCGTAGAGGGTGAGGCCCCGTAAGGGTGGTCGTATATCATACAAAAACGTAGTTTTTGGTGTGGTAACCTTTTTGTATTAAGGAAAATGGTTACAACTATGTCATGTAGATTTTCTTGAGCAAGGAACATGCAATAAGTGCCCCAAGGAGGATTTCATCAGAGAATTCATAACCTCTACTGGTTTGTAAAAAAAATTATTAGATAATGAATGAATGAATGAGTGTGGTTTTTACGCCGCTTTTAGCAATATTCCAGCTATATCACGGCGGGGGAACACCAGAAATAGGCTTCAAACGTTGTACCCATGTCGGGATTTGAACCCGCGTGTGCACACTAAACACACTGAATTATCTTTTTCAATAACTCTTCTCAAGGAGAATTTTGTCCAACGCCTCCACACAATTGCCGACAACATATGCATCCATATACAGAGTATTTGCTGCGAAACAGACTTTAGAATCACTATGTTCCATGTACAAGCTGTATTCTTTCATTTAATAATATGCTTCATTCATTGACGACATGGGACAATCTCTCCACCCCCATTCCCCTCCACACACACGCACGCGAACGCACACACTCTCTCACACATACACACCCACCCACACACACGCTCTTATCGGCCTGGTGCCCTGGTGCTGTTTTGTATAGAATATAACATCACATCATCTGCGAATCGTTACAGCCACAGCGATTATTCGTTTACATAATTACATGTTCACTAGCAGATTGTTTAATTACATATTGCTGCACTTACCATGTCGTTTTGTTCAACGTCCTCTCCAGAGTGAAAACATACGGCAGGGCAGGAAATCACACTGAAAAGTTTTAAACGCAGCGTTCAAAGTAGCGCGTGATTAATATAAACATGAGAAATAGGGGTCTAAGCCCATTGTAATCTCGATTTTAAATTATTTCTAAACTTGTTGAAATTAATTTAACATGCACCGGTGCATTTGATAAAGTAAGCGTCGTCTGCTTCGATCCACAGTCTGGATTACACGCAGGAAAAACTCGTGCAACGGAAGTGTTTCCCGATTGGCTAAACTCGTAACCATGACATCACGTGACTATTCTGATGAACACCTGCGTGAAATAAACAACACTTCTGACCTGATTTGACATTTGTTTATATAAATAATCTTAACCGACAAAACCATTGATGGTGGGGTTTGTCCAGCGAGGTTAAAGCGTCAACTCCGTCACATCAATTCACTACATGGATACACCATGTAGAGCCGATTTTGACGCCCCTCTCCGTAATATGGCTAGGATTTTGTTCCAAATTTTGCAGCGGTATTACTGGAGATGGCGTAAAAGGCGACTATGCTTGTCATAAGAGGCGACTAACGGGATCGGGTGGTCAGGCTCGCTGACTTGGTTGATGCATGTCATCGATCCCCATTGCGTGAATCGATGTTCATGATGTCAATCACTTGATGGTCTGGTCCAGATTCGATTATTTACAGACCGCCTTCATATAGCTGGAATAATCCTGAGTGTGGCGTAAAACAACAAACCAAACCAAACCAAACCAAACCAAAATGGCACCTGTTACAGCAAGCATGGGTTGCTGAAGACATATTCTATCCCGGATCTTCACGGGTCGACACATCGAATGAAGATCGAGCTGCGGTTGCTTTGTGAAATAAGTATTAAGAAAGTGGACCTAGTCATCCTCTGTGTACTAATGGTGATAATAAATCAACAACATTATTAAACGAGTACGAACTAACGTCAATAACATTATTAAACGAGTACGAACTAACGTCAATAACATTATTTAATGAGTACGCACTAACGCCAAAAACATTATAAAAGGGGTACGCTCTGACATCAATAACATTTTTTAAGGAGAAGTTTAATTTACAGAGTCAAGTGGTGAAGATAGTATCAACGTCGCGGGTCGGCAAAATAATATGTTAAAAAACACCAAAATTGTTTTTTACTAATTGTGCAAATTATTTTATGTCTTTTAAAGTTTTGATACACTTGGGACCAGTCTTTAAATGTATGACGTAGATCGAAGCCTTTGGTTGAAACCTAGACATTCATAGCTGAAGAAAGATTTTTTTGCAATGGTAGTAGTTATAATTGTTTTTATCACATTGGGGAATAATTTTCCTCAGCGGTGGGGAAATTTGAGATACGAAAACATTTGATTATTTCACGTCCGAATGAAAATTCAGGGCGGATGGGAGATGGGAAACTCAGGAACAAATACGGACAACCTTACAAGTCGCAAGTACTTTTGAAAGAGGACATATTGACCACTGACCAACGATACCCGATGAACACCGAATTATTGCTTTATCGTCAGTTGTGGATGAACAGAGGTATGAAGAGTTATCTCCCGTTGATCACATGAGGTACGACATATTATATACATGCTCTTTCTGATACTTACTTTCAAAAGGCTTGAGACATTCTTCGCGAAAGGCCCGCTACACATTTAGGTCGTTTTTCATTTTAACTGTCAAGTTCTGCAGCATGGTACCTTTCTCAGACCATAGGAGTCCGTATCTAAAAATAGACGCCCTCATGCATATTCATGAGGGCGTCTATTTTTAGATACGGACTCCCCGTGCTCAGGCGGATGTAGCACTGTTTCCTGGTCAGTTCTATTTTAAGCAATTTTATTTTTATAAATGAATAATCCCGTTTCAAATCTAAATGTTTCGACTGTATTGTGCATCAAGTTATTGATTTTAACAGGCTGAATAATCTGCCTGACGACGGACGCAATGGAGGAGTATTTGCTACTTATAGAATCGTTCAAAACCACAGGTTTTCTGTGTTGTGGCAGGCCCAGGCCAATCCAGTTCATTGCACAACCCCACGTCATTCGTTCAACGAGTTGGGATGAACCGAAAGAATTACTTCCATGTTACTCAGAATTACCTTACATTTATAGAACACACATATAGATACGAACTACATTAACTTGTTGTCTTCTGACATCCATCGACACAGTGGAGATTTATGTTTTGAGTCAACTGTTCAACTTCGAGAGTTCATGGTGATCAGGAAATACAGTACGTACCAGTTATCCATACCTTTTTTGGAAGTCATGTCTGCCAGCAATTTATCAATTTATTTTATTCATTTATTGTTCATGATTTATATACCACACTTTCTAAACACAATACACTTAGTTTTATTTATACTTTCATACCAGTATGTTTACAACAACAAAACACAAACTTTTCTAGTTCAGTTATCCTCCTCAGATGTGACCACGTGTCAGACATTGCGGAGACATTATCAGCAAACAAGAGAGAGGACAAATCATAAATACATGATGTAACAGAAATACCTTCATCACCCTGTCTTTCTATAACGTGTTTAACCGAGACAGTATTTCTTAATAATTTTGAAAAGAGATATTATATATTATAGTATTTTCATAAACTTTCAGTTTTCTAAGTATGTAAAGTGGCAGATCAAAAAGCGGTGCGTGTGTGTGTGTGTGTGTGTGTGTGTGTGTGTGTGTGTTTGTGTGGTATGGGGTAGTGTAGCCACCCTACCTTTTTCAGAATATATATAAAGATAACGACCACACTCCCCAACTCCTCTGTTTCTTTAGAATCCTGGGTCCGTCAAAGCTGCCCACTATAATAGGTGGCCAGCATGCTTCTAGTTCTTACAACCGAATGACTATATATGTTTACAAACAAGAGTCATCAGAAGATGACAATCCCCCCGGCCCCCACATATTCGAAAGCACAAATCATCTGACTGTCACATTATATAAGGACATGGCTCCATTATGACAGGCTCCGCCATCATGCATGATAGCGGAGCTTCAAATTAAGACAAGAGATATTATTGGATGAAATGGTCGCGGATGTGGAGGTACTGGTGGACTACGGCAATGAGCTTAACCCCTGTTAAGCAACCCCAACTGCAGCAACCGCTGCCCTGCAACAACCGTTGCCAAGCAACCCATGTTGCTTACCGATGCAGCATCCGCTGCCCCGCAACTACCGTTGCCAAGCAACCCATGTTGCTTACCAATGCAGCGCCTGCTGCCCTGCAACTACCGTTGCCAAGCAACCCATGTTGCTTACCAATGCAGCGCCCGCTGCCCTGCAACTACCGTTGCCAAGCAACCCATGTTGCTATGCAGCTATCGCTGCCAGGCAAGTACCATTGCCAAACCATGAGCGAGGGCAACTATTGTTGCCAAGCTGACCATCCGCTGTAAAGCGGACACTAAGCCATCTGCTGTAAAGCAGAATGGATAAATTGGTTCCTGCTGTAAAGCGGGTAACCCTATCCTAAATAATTTATAATTTGGGATGTATCCCAAGACGCCAAATGTAACTTGTAATGCAGTCCACCAGCACCCCGCCACAAGCACCAAGGTGCTTCCCCACAACCACGACCATTCGCGCTCATGTACGCCCACCGTGTTATCCTATACTGAAATTGTTTCCTACAAGCATACTGCGGAAAGGGAGCTGCCAATGTTTTGTGTGAAAAGATCAAGTCCGGCAGGTGACAAATGAACCCCGTCACGCAGGTACAGTTGCTCCTCCTGCCGGTTGAATGCTGTGTGGGGAACCCGTATCCCCCCAAGCTCACGGGCCCTGTTCCCCACTCGTCTGTTCAGCTTCTGCCTGGCCCCGTCCAGGTCCCGGGCACGGCTGGCTACATGCCAGTGCCTCCGTGGCAGCATGTCTGACCACAGAATGACAGC